TTCTACTGGTCAACCCCCCTAGCCATCCCTTCCTTACCCCCTCTATCCTCTAGACATTATGGGGCGGCCGCCTTTTCACGGTTGAGTAAGGCTGGGACGCAGGACGGGGGGGGCAAAAAACTCGGACGCCTTTTTCTATTCTGCACCCCGTCGCTTTTGCCCTTCACAGGGTATGGGAAAGAAGTGGGAGGCGAGGTTTGTCTTGTGGATGCTGGGCCATCTGATTGTCGACTGTGAAATGGATATTCCTGGGAGGAGCGAGAGGGAGTTTTGGATGAAACGTTTTAGGATTTTAGGACCTTAAGAAAAACTGCATGAAACTAAGAATGAAGGAACAATGGATAAAATAAAGGTGATTGAGTCAAAAATTTCTGGAAATTGTGGCCCAGAGTGCCCAGTTAATTAACGAAATCCAGAACCCAAAATCCTACTTCTGAAAAAAGAAAATCAAGCTAAAAGCCGATTTATGGTATCAAGCGCCTATTTGACAAACTCTAAAAGATGCGCGATACCACCGCCTAGCCCTTTATACACTCCTTGTTGCCCGCAAGGATTATAGAGGCTGATTGCAAGGAAAAGTATGGGAGTAGAGCTTGCTTAACAGCTGAACTCGTGTGCGAACGACTAGTCCCGGGGCTGGTTTCTTAAAGCTACCGCCTCGGTTCCCCCTCTTAAGAACCTCTTTGGCAGCCGACACAAAGGCGTTCACTCGAGAATCGCTAACTAAGCCTGTTTACCGAAAGGTTTTCGACAATCTTTAAGTTATTGGGCGGTTTGTGGTGTATAAGTGTAGTGGTGAATCGAAAACCGCGGAAGAATTAAAGTCGAATAGATGATAAAAATATACTAAAAATAATGATGATGAATTCGGTCGCTTGGGCTTCTTTCCTAAACCTTATGCTCTATTAAACCCTTCTAAGAATGCTTGGGGTATTTCAAAACCGTAAACCAACCCTGGAGTCCACTAGCCAAGCCGGGGAAAAAATTTCTGCAGATCGCCAGACCAGATAGACACCGGATTACAGTCGAATACCCCCCTTTTGACTGGCTTTCCCTTTTGAAAGCGTAAAAACCAAAAAAAAATACTAAAACAACCGTATGATTCATCGACTATATGGCCGCACCACTTTCGGGAAGGCAACCACCAAAGCCCGCAAATGTTGTTCCTTCGCGCCTGGGGCGGTGCTAGCCGTGGTGCTTCTCGGGTGGGAAAATGAGAAAACGGGACAAAATGAGGGGGAGCAGCAGCTAGAGAGGGGCAATGCCTGCTCGGGCCGTCCCATGGGGGGATCAAGGGAATGGTGTCCACCACCATACCCCCCTATTCGAATGCATATTGATCGCACAGTTGCAGCCAAGTAAGGAGAGCAAATGGGTCAAGCCATCCCGATTCTACGGTGTTTTTAAATCCCGGATTTTTCGGGGCTGAGTTGAGGGGTATTCGAGGATTAACACAAAATAGGGGGGAGTGACTGGGACCATTCAGATGAACGGTGAAAAAGTGAGTTGCGAGCGAAAAGGGGTTCGGAAAGAGGATAGTCAACTGAATCGGATAAAGATCTTCAGACGGGGAGAAAGCTGGGTCGACGCTCTTCGTAGTTTTGGGCGCCATGACACATTTCGCATTAATAAATAAGAGATATGGCATCTCCTTACAATGAAAAGCAATTTAAATTAGCGGGCTACGCCCGCTAACCCCGATACAGTATTAAATTAATCGAGCATTAGAAATCATTTTATTATTATGTTGTTGCTATTTTTTTAATTAATCAGACAATGTTCTAATTAGGCTACATATTAGTTACTTTTTATTTGTAAGAAAATGTTGATTAAAATGAACGATTGAATAAAAATGGATGAATAAGCCCAATATTTGATTAATAATATAACATAATTAATATAATAAGAGACGATAAGACGATTTTTACCGTGAATACATGACATAGTTTTTAACTTCGTCACATACTAGCTACTTTCAGAAACACGGAATTGGCCAAAGGGCTAATCATAGAAAATTAAATCCAGACGTTGAAAAGAGGCTATTTACATGCGAAGAAAAGTGCCGAATTTGAAATCGAACGATGGGGAAATCACGAAAGGTCAAGCAAAAATTTGTTACGATATAAAATCAATCAAAGACCGCTGGCTATCAGCCGTTGATAAAATCTGGTGGTCCCGGGCAGTGAGTAAAAAAACGGCGCCGCAATAGGGAGTGACGTTATCACAACACCAATCAGCCAGTTGTCGAGCCCTAAGGGTACAGGAGATGGCGTCCCTTTTGTAGGTTCCGCTGGTCAACCCTGGCCGGGTGCCCAAACGAATGCCCCTTCCTACCCAGCCAGCTATCCTAACCCTCTTGCCTCTCACCATCCAACACTGCCCACACCACACCCGGTCGCACAAAAAAAATCAATTGACCGATGGCCGCTCACTAGCACTAATAGCCTGTGTACCCTGTGTGCCCTACGGCTATCCCCTACACCAAACCTACACTAAACGGAAATCCGCTCAATACTATTATTTTTGAGGCGGGATTTGACAGCCGAACATCTGGGTCGTTTTGAAGTTTGCAGGGGGTGGGGGAGGTGGAAATGGGGTACTGAAGTATAGTGTAGTACTAAGAAATTTCAATCTCCTTGGCCTTGGTAACCTAACATATAAGGCGGGGATAAAAACTTGACGCCTAATCAGTATCATCGGGATAAGGTCTCGAATAACTTATAAATACAACTTAAATTTCCATAGCTTTATAAAAAAATAGGTGCGTATTAATAAACATAGTACCTAATCAATGATCATCATAATAATTGGAAAACCTATAATAACAACGAAATTTTTAGCTTTGTATGAAGATAGAGCCCGATACACGTTTGATCGAAACCAAAAATGACCACTTTAGGCAGAATATTTTGGAGGACAATTGAAAACCAGATAATCACAATCAATGACCAGAAAGAAAAAAAGTGGTCAATTATTGGCATAAATGTTGAGAACAGCCGAAATGAAGGATGGCCCGGGTTGTTGTTCAATTTCGGGGCGGGGCAACATTTTGTGTGAAATCGCCGGTGAGTCATATCATCAGACGCGGGGAGGAGACTACATTGTCCTCGTGCCCTTCGAAAAATGAGTGCATCAGAAAAATATACTCGCCAAACTGGCATGAAAAAGATTAATTTATGGCTCTATGACATTAAATACGTTAAATACCAAATTAAGATAAGCAAAATACTTGAATTGGATGTTAACTGGTAGAAATAGACAATATCAACGTCGTTAATACAGAGTATGCGAAGAAATTTGTAAATTCACTTAATAAAGTAAATACCCCACAACACTACAATAAACAGCATACAAAACTTTCGAATTCAATAAACTCTATGTGAAAAATATCAATATTGAAGCGACACCCAAAACCCCATCAAGCAAAAAGTAATTTTTCACGCGTCCATCGCAAGAAAATTGGCCCCCTCTTGCCTCCGTCGCGTAATAGCCCAGACCAACCCATCAACCCCACCATACACGCACACACACAAACCGAACCCAAAATCAAAAATAACATCTGGCTCCTACTAGCATCGATTGTCACAGCGGGTGAAGGAGGTTGGCGAGATTGGGCAAATGAGGTTACACGAAAATCCCACGCAATGCCCCGAGGGCTCTTCGCTCCCTGCTGGAGGGAGAAGATGCGCGGGTGGCTAATGGAATTAATAGGAAAAGGGCCAGCCTGGGCGCTGGTTGGGCCCTAAGGGGCTAAAGCTGCCATCTTGTAGCTGTAGCTTTTATTTAAGGTCCTGGAGTGAAATTAGATGGCTTTTCGGTTAGTGCATGTGCTCAGGGCCGTAGCGATCCCCGATTTTTGGGGGGCAACTCCAAAAAAAAATTTTTTGGCAACGTACCAAAACTATCAAAAACAGCGCCGCAGGCAAAAATTTTTGAAAACTTAGGGCCATGACAGTAAAAACAGTCTTAAAAACAACTATAAAAAGCGCCGCAGGCAAAAAAATTTTTGAGGAAAAAAGATCATAAGGGTCCCCCCTTATGAATTTTTCGGCCTTCGGCCGATTTTGGGGGGCAACTTGCCCTAGTTGCCCCCCTTCCTACGGGCCTGCATGTGCTCATCACACTGCTAGAATTTTGATTAAAGATTTACGCATGGTTGCATCATCACAAAATAAGCTTGATGAAGCTAAAATTGAGTTAAATTTGGTTAGAAAATGAGAAATTCCGCTGCGAAACGCCGAATTCAAACCGTCAACGTATGATAATCGATTTATTTTTGCGACTTTTAATTTGCAACAGTACGTAAAATAGAACTGAACAAGCGAACTTCTAGTAAAATCAATTAATTTAAAAATGAACATAGGATATTTAATGAAAAAATTAGAGAATATGCTCTGAATAACTCTCTTTGCTTTTCGAGGTCCGCACTAAGCTGCTCGTAGTTTTTCCTTGTTGAACCTTATAATAATCGTGCCATGTTGTGCGTTTTTGCATTGCCTCAAAGTGATGATACCTTTTTATTCACAATTACATGTATAGGGTACTGATGGGCAGAGATTTTTCTATAAAAATCCGTATTCTAGCGCTAAACCCGTAGGGGAGCTAACAAGTTCCACACTTCTTTTTGCACAAATAACAAGGGTACGGGTCTCATAAATGACATTGGGCGTGTAGGGGTGGGGGCTGGGTTTGTGTGTTTTTGAGGGTCACACTGAAAATGCGTATACAACCGGTAAAGCCGCCGAGCAAGAATAGTATATTTTGGGTAGGCGGGTCGCTGGGACAGTTGTTTTTGCTAGGGTACACTATACAAGCGAGAGTCGAAATTGTCAGTAGAAGTTGTACAAATAGATTCTCTATTCTGGGCCCCGATTTTCGAAAGAGGAAAACGAAAAAATGCACTTTATAGGGTAAAAAAAGTGAGAGATATCACAGTTATCTGGGGGTCGCTTCGTTATTGGGCAGACATTTTTGAGTTAGGATTTAGACTAGGAGTCTCAGCTCTCGGATAATCGAACACGTTCGTAATCCCGTGAACGGAACCCCTTTGGTGCCGAGATGATTGCTTGGCCATCACTAAATTAAATATATTTTTGTAATCGTTGATGAGGTTTACCGATCGACATACAGGGCCAGTCCGTCATCATCGTCAAGGGACATCTCCTCATTTAACGCCGTTTCCGCAATCATTTTTTCGATCATGTCCTCGGCATCGATTCTTGTACTTTGGAGTCTCGGGGCGCTTGTTCGGTCTTGTGACAACCGTCTGTAGCCTCCTTTTGTCATTTGTGAACCGCGAGGTTCACTGGCGAGGGAGCTAGAGTCGTCTGGGCCTGATGCACCAGCCACGGAGCCGGACTCGGCACCTAGACAACGGTTGGATTAATTTTTTTAAGTGGGAAATTACCATTGGCATCGGGCATCCGGAAGGCGACGGTGGGGGTATTGCCTTCACCAGAACCATCGGATGGTTCGTCTGACATGGCCTTTCGGTCAACGGGGTTTAGTCGAGCACTTTCGATGGATGAGGATGCGGCAATTCGGGGTCTGAAAGTTGAGCAATAATATTTACACATTTTCTAGTGGTTCTTATAGAATATTCTGTTCGATTCTATCGTGCGTACGTAGCCCGCATCATTTTGACCCAGGTTCTAATTAAACGGAATGCCCAACCAAATGGCCATTCCCCCCACGTGTTTCAGATGAAATTCCTAAGCTCCCAACGCACCCCTCCCATCCAATATCATTCCCCGCATATTGTCCCCCGGAATTGGAGCCGAAATTGCCGGGCTCTTGGCTGTGAGCCATAGAAGGGCCCACCCCGAGTACCAGGAGAGGCCCCTTCTCGTCTCCCCGCGCATCATTATGCCCCAAAGCCGCCTTTCCAAGCCCCTCCCCAACGAACACCAACAACTCAATTACCTAGTGGACCCTGTGGCCCACCGCCAGGCCCCTTCCCGTTATGCGAAAGAATGTCCATGAGGGCCCCAGATTGAGAACCTGACGCACGTCGGGAAGAGAAACCATAAATAGATTATGCTTGCAGGGCCACGGAAATTGGATAAGCGCCCCGTTGCGTAGATCAAAGAATATGAAAGAACGTTCCCCCAAAAAGCTTTACTTTTTTTTTAAATGACTTACAGCTTAAAGAGAGGATCTGAGGAGTGGTGTACCATCGTGACCTTGACGGTCACCCGGCTGTTGTCTTGGCGTTGGTTGATTCCATAGCTAAATAAAAGTTAATATAAATTGCTGTGATTGTTTCTTACCCATCCAAAAGGTATGACCGGGAAACACCTTCGACACCCGACGCGGCAAACTCGCTGAGGTTGATGTCAACATATCCAAGCTTGGCGAAGGAGCGACCACCTTTTTGCTCCTAGAACTCGATAGTAATCGTCACTATTGTGTTTTTTTACTTTTCTCAAAGAAATTCGGCAGGGGCACTTCTCCAAAATGCCGGTCTGGGGATCGGTGGCAATACGGCAGCAAAAATTGAAGCGTCGGGACCAGGTTGCGGAGTTTGAGTGAACCTAAAGGGCAATTCTTACTTTTAACTTCTCTATCTAGACAACGTTTGTTCAGTTACTTCAAAAGTATTTTTACTTTCTAAGGACCAACTTTTCAGACTAATCCCTGGTCGCAGTAAAGCTCATCACTTACCTCGACTCGCTCCGTGCGGTCTTCGAACACTCCTCCATCAAGGAGACGCACTTTTGCGAAAAGCACGGCATTTACTAGCGGCACGTCACTCAGGTCACATACCTAAAAGAGCGGATATAGTATTGTTCGTATTAAAACGTTAAACCTAAAATTTAATGGCTTGTCCAACATACCTGCAAGTCGACTGTGAACTTGACGCGTTTCCTTTTCAGAAAACTCATTCTGTGCCAAACCCATTCCAGAAGCACATAGAAGCCTGAAAAATATTGATGAAATAAGCTACTCATTAACATAAAACTTTTAGAATAGCTGAAGGAATGTGTAAGCTAAAGCCCCAGACAAGTTACCAGACCCAATTCAAACCAGACGGCCCCCTCAACGTGCTACTATGCAAATCAAATGCACAACCCGCCGAACATCAAGCCCCTTCATGGGCGGAAGCTTTTCTATGGCAGAAAAATGAATGGAAAATGCGAGAATGGAATGATGGTGGCCAGAGGGGGAGCACGAACACTCAACAATGCGGCGGGGCGCCCGCCGTTTTTTTTTGCTGTTTTAGGCAATCGCTTTGGCGGGTTGTAGAGGTGAGGAAGGGTGTGAGGAGGAGGAAGGCTTCTGCTGGGTGAAAAGCATGGAGTTTTCATTTTGGGGGGTAGTAGTGAGGAGACATGGGAGGTCGGTGGATGGAAGGAGGAGGAGGAAGAGGGGGCTAGCCTTGCTGTGTCCGCCTGAATGGCCTATTTCACGAGGGATAAGGTGGGGCGTTGAGACGCAGCTACGTATATACCACCGTAGAAATTATCGCCCCAGGACCAGTGGCTCGGAGGACCACCCATGGTGTCAGCTGATCCACCAACGGCAAAGATGAGCGTATGGAAATAGGGTTATTTGGAATGGTTTTATACAAAAACGACAACAAAAGGTTTTTATTAGCTTACATTGGTTTGTAGGGATTGCGCGCCCGAAAAATAAAAAAGGTAGCGATTTTGAGTTCTGGGCCTTCGAAATGCGTCACAACCGCCTATTTCCGGACCTCCCAAGGCTCAAAAATATCCCAGACCTCTAAATTCCCACCCACCACCCCTATAATTACAAAAACACGTTCATACTCCCACCCCAGAATTAAACATTGCAAATTCCAAAACCCTTGCCTCGAAATTCCTCTCAAAATACTCACCCTGGCTGATCTTCGAGGGCCTCCGTGCTCCTGGATGGACGGATGAACGCTTGAGGGAGAGAATTTTCTGAAAAATCATCCTTTGCAAATGATGGCCGCGTCGTTTTGCTGCCTCCCGTGGGTGGAAATCCCCGGGAATATTTTTCGCCCCGAGAAAAGTGCAACGGCGCGCGTTTCCGGTGGAAAACATCAGATTTTTAAATGTGATAACCAAAGGTTGACTGGAGAATGGGGGGGGGCTTGATATAATCCTTGCTCTGGACTTTTATTAAAAAGTGAGAAGGGGCGGGGGCGGAACAAAAATATAGAAAAAGAACATGAAATGGAAGCTGGGTCAAAACGTTCACAAAAGAATCGTGACTGAAGCTGTGGGGGTCTAAAACTTCAAGCAAAACGGTGACACAGTTTTTGTGGTCACGCTTGTGAGTCATGGGAAGGGGGATCTCGAGCACCCCCCAATGGTTCCTTGTTTACCGAGTAAAAAGGGTAAAGCTGGGGCCGTCCAACTTCCCCGAATCGAATGGATCGAGAGGAATGTTTGGATTCCGGATCCAAATTTAGAATGGTGTTTAATGTTTACTTCGGGAGCGGAGGGATGGTTTTCGCTACAAAAAGGGCAGCGAAGATGGACTCTTGCTTTGAAAGGCAAGAATCTGAATTCTTCTGCTTTCCTGGAAGGCATCCAAAAACACATGGCTGGAACGGCAGGCGCTTATTTTCAGATTGGTGACTCGCGACCCGACGCGCTCCCTAGGAGACATGAAATGTTGGGCAATGCAGAAATCAAAGAACTGTCAGGCGACGTGGTCGGCTTGTGGTCGGCTTCTAAGGCAAAAAAAATGGAAGGAAGAAGATGAGATGCATTGTTGAATATTCAACGATGAGGTTGGGTGTCACCAAGGAACATTTGGCTTGGCAAAAAAACAATGGGTGGATGGGGGAAGTGGTGGCCAGGAAAAAGGCTTGCATGTAAACTATGAGCGGAAGAAGAATTCTTTAAAGCTTTTGTCTAGCATTTGCAGATGAGGAGAATCCTACTATATATAAAAAATAGTGTCTGTGTGTTTGTGTGTGTGTGCCACTTTGCATCCACTTCCGTCTGTCTGTCCGGAGGATATCTCAAGAAGGGACGGGTATTGGGCTACGTATGATACGTCATTAGGTGCGTAATGGTCTAGGGATGACTGCACACATATCAAATTTTTAAAAATTAGCCATTTTCGCTATTAAATTTAGGTTTTTGTAAAAACCTCTTTGTTAGGGATAATTAGGATAGACCGGAAGTGGGCGGTCGTCTATATAAAGGGGCAGAAGGGGTTGTTTTTCATTTTTTTTGTCTTCTGGATGAAGGACAAGTATGCAAAGGGAAGAATAGTATGGGGTCCGAGACGGGGCCAGGGTTGAAAAAGTCGCGAAGCGGCTTTTCAACCCTGGTTAATTATAAAAAAGACTAGAATATTTACAAGCGGCAGTGTTGCCAATTAACCCAGATAGATAGGCATAAAAACACATTTAAGCAGTAATGTTGCTAACAACACCCCTACCCCAATCCAGAAACCCATGTGAACCCATATCAGGTGAAATCCGAATGCAGGTGGCCACGCTTACTGCCATGCGCATTCATACATGGCTGATGACCTGTGCCACAGGAAGGTGTTCCCCACTTCCCCCAACCCCAGATGCTAATGAGGCAACCAAAGGATTGTCTTCGGCCCACAACTATGTACATACCCGCATACTGATCTGCTACCCAGTGAGTTGTGCCCGGGTTGCTACCACCTCTAATTACCGGCTTTCTGTACCCCACGCGCACCAAATTAGGATAATGGCGCCGGGATTGGGTTTGGGGTTGTTGGGCCAGTCACCTGTGGCTATACTACCGGAAATGAGGAACTTTCTGAGCGCCATAATACGAGAAAAAGCTGAAGAATACGGTACAGTGATGCTAATTTAAGCAAAAAACCCCTGCAAAAAAAAGGTTGTCGACTTGGACCTAGATGCAAAATTTTGCTATCCACCTATTCCCCCAAACCAAATGACCCTCCGAATGTGATATTCTCACCCCCTTAACCTCCTCCCCTCCCACCATCCTATCTATTCCGCAATGCGCCCATCCACGGAATTCCTAAAAGCGCAATTTTCCTCGTGCGCCAAAAAACTAGCTGCCCGGCGGCAATTTTCCGCGCCAACGGGTGGGCCCTAAGAAAGTTTTGTCAGAGTCAGAGAAAGCACTTGGTCAGTCAGAAGTCAGAAAGCGGAAAGGTTGTTGGGTGTTCAGTGGCTATAAATAGGCCGCTATAGGTGCCCATTCAGGGTAAAATAGAATAGGGTAAAATAGTGATGATGAGCCTAAGCTGGCTGGGCTGAATTATCCGGGCTCACCACTGAGCCTTAATAGACATCAACACATTTTTGTTTGCGCCCCCGGCATACCACGCCCAAAAGTTGCTTTCATTGACTCCACGGGCAACAAGACGCTAACCAACATGCCCGAATCGCCGTCTGTCACGCAAAACTCATCTCCGACATCCGCCCACTGATCTCATCATCACGTCCGGATAATGGCATTTCACCGCAGAATCAGGTGCATTTGGTTTACAAAAGTTTTTGGGTTTTCGGGGAAGTGCGGGAAATCGCGGGGCAGCGGATAGGGGGGAACACGGCGCGATTTTCGGAACGGGGGCTCTAATTGCTTTTCGGTGGCTGGCTCTGATGGAATATGCAATGACGCCCTTCTGGCGAGGGTCTCCTCTATGCCTTCCGTGGCCCAATGCCTCCCGCACCTTGGTCGTTCGTGATTCAGCGGGTTGTGATTTGTGACAATGAATTCTGGGGGGTGTTCTGAGTGAGTCCCAAAATTTGTAACAAGACACTGGTGGGTAACCCCATGGCTCACAACACGAATTCGACTATGGCTGATCAATGAACAATGGGGAACGCTTTGAAAAAGAAATCGACCAATCGTGTTTATGTTGTACTTGAAGTTAGGAACAAACAAAACAAGACTTTTATCGAAATCAGCCAAACGACACCTTTAAGGTTTACCCTCTATGGCTTCCGCCCTTCAGATTTACGCGACGGTCAACGAAACTGGTCAAAGCGCAGCAATACACTGAACATCCCAAAAAATGCCGACTGGAATGAAAGGCGACCCCCATAGAATCTGCGGAATGTCGCTTCTCAGAGATCAGCCCCGCATGGCAGGTGTGAAAAAAGTGACCCGAAAAGAGTTCCGCCCCACAATATATGCGGATTATCAAAGGTCGCACTTTCGGGAATAGAATATTTCCCATTTGCATCGTCAGATCCTTGCAAACAAAAAACTAAACAAGACAATTGACGCGTTTACTGGCCGTTTATAGGTATTGCATTGATAAGAGGGGAGTAACGGCACTATTTTATTGCCTCAAAAAAAATACTGAAGTAGTGACTAGGCAAAATAAGATAGCGCCACCAGCGCCAGTAAAGTAACTTCAAAATGCAAAAGCCAACACCCAAAATAGAGGCCAATAGGAGCGAAGGCACATGTTTTCTACCAATATTAGCTTCCACCTAGCCGTCCCCGTCGAAGTGCCGACGACGCCCGGAGATGGGGGGAAACACGCGGAAAAACAAACACGCGCCCCGTTTCTAGCGCGTCGGCCCGAAAAATTAGCAAATTCAATAAGCGTAGAGCGTTGGCGGCTCGCTTGGTCACAAGGGCGGACACCGGCAGGGGGGAAAGGCTGGGATTCAAAGCATTTCGGCAACTGATAACTGGTGCTGGGTGGGGAAATGGGAAAAAGGAATTCGGAAGATTCTCCGGATCCTGATAAAAACTAGAGCTGGTCATATTAAAACCAAGCTACCCCGAAAGCCAGGGATTTATTATGCTTCCGGTTTTTATTAAAATCAGCACATTTTTGCATGTAAATTAGGCCCGAGACGGTTTTTCACCTCAGAGTTTCCAAGCGGTGCATATTTCGATTTATGAATGCACAAAAATTGGAAATTTGAGTAAGAACCGGGAGCTAAAGTCAAACATACCGGTTTTAGGGAGGATTT